ACGTTGCATTCAATTATTCAAACATGAGAAGCTTTCGACATAATTAGAAGTATAACAATAGAAACTTGACTTGACACAACACAACCTACCGGTAACATTATGAAGCGTCAAGTGTTTTGTAGTCTTGAATCATACTAATATTTTAATTGTTAAATAAATAAAAATGTTTCAAGAACCATACCAGTTGATAAGAATTTTATTCAAGAACCATCCTGGGACTAAAAAAAACTGCGATGTGAGCACTTTAAATTTTTTTTTCTTTTTTTTATGAACATGACAAATCTAGTAGTCCATGGCAAAATTGATATTACACCTATTACTACATTCCTAAGTGTGTATCAGTGTTGGAATTAAGAAAAGACCACAATGTTGCATTCAAAATTCGAACATGAGGAGCTTTCAGCATAAATTTTTTTTTTCATAAATAAGCATACTTTATTAAAAAGTATCAAAATGATGCAAAAAATATAAAAATTCAGCCCTCAAATGGATAACAAAGCTAAGAAATCAAATCATTTACAAAATCTACAAAAGCCAAAACATCTGAATCAACCAATTTATTTATTTAACAATTAAAATATTAGTATGATTCAAGGCTATAAAACACTCGATGCTTCATAATATTAGTATTGTTGTTAAACTTTTATTTGATGTTACTTATAGGTTGTGTTTTGTCAAGTTTGTATGTGGTTTATAAGCTAATTTTTTGGCTTATTACGAAAAAATGTACAAAAAGTAGAGAGGTAATGTGACTCAAATAAGCCAATAAGTCAATAAGATGGCTTATAAGCCACTTCCCAAAAATAGCCCTTGGGTTGTGGGTTTGGTTGATTCAAATGTTTTGGCTTTTGTAGATTTTGTGAATGATTTAATTTCTTAGTTTTGTTATCCCTTTGGGTGATGTTACTTGTAGGTTGTGTTTTGTCAAGTTTATGTGTGACTTATAAGCTGGTTTTTTAGCTTATTTTGAAAACAAGACCTAAATAAGCCAATAAGTCAATAAGATGGCTTATAAGCCACTTCCCAAAAATAGCTCTTGGGTTATGGGTTTGGTTGATTCAGATGTTTTGGCTTTTGTAGATTTTGTAAATGATTTGATTTCTTAGCTTTGTTATCCATTTGGGGGCTGAATTTTTATATTTTTTGCATCATTTTGATACTTTTTAATAAAGTATGCTTATTTATGAAAAAAAAAATTTATGCTGAAAGCTCCTCATGTTCGAATTTTGAATGCAACATTGTGGTCTTTTCTTAATTCCAACACTGATACACACTTAGGAATGTAGTAATAGGTGTAATATCAATTTTGCCATGGACTACTAGATTTGTCATGTTCATAAAAAAAAGAAAAAAAAATTTAAAGTGCTCACATCGCAGTTTTTTTTAGTCCCAGGATGGTTCTTGAATAAAATTCTTATCAACTGGTATGGTTCTTGAAACATTTTTATTTATTTAACAATTAAAATATTAGTATGTATCAAGACTACAAAACACTTGACGCTTCATAATGTTACCGGTAGGTTGTGTTGTGTCATGTCAAGTTTCTATTGTTATACTTCTAATTATGTCGAAAGCTTCTCATGTTTGAATAATTGAATGCAACGTTGTGGTCATTTCTTAATTTTGATATTGATACATACTTAGGAATGTAGTAATAGGTGTAATATCGATTTTTCCATGGACTACTAGATTTGTTATGTTCATCAAAAATAAAGAATTTAAATTTAGTGAGATGTCAAATTTGTTCCTGCATGTAGGATTTTATTTTTTTTTGGTTTGCATATTTGGGATTTTTCTTCCAATGAACAGCTAGAGAAGTGAATATTCACCCAAGGGCACAACAAGATGGTGGATTTGATGGCCATAGATCTCATTGATTTTTTTTATTAGTTTAAATACGTTCGTAATTTCTAAGCTTATTTCTTTTAATGGGATTAAGTGGGAAACAAGGGATAATGTACTATTAATAATTGTGTAAGATCTTAGATTTTAAAGATTCAAATAGTCTCATCATTGTCTAATGAAATCATGCATGATGTAGTCAATAAATTTTTTTAATTAACTTTTTCTTCAATGCCTATTTATTTAACATGCTTAATTATATGATTTCTATGTGGCTTTATGTGAACAAACTGCAAAGGTTATTCAGATCAAGGAAGTCGAAGGAATTGAACCATTCTTTTATAATAGTAATTCACAAATTGTAGTGATTGATGCATTTGGTAATTCTTGAAGGCATTTGGAAGCATTGTCCTTTTTTTAACACTACATAAAAGGAAGTGCAGGACTTCATATTGTTTTGGTAATTCCTACAAGGTTTTTTCCCTTCAAAAAAATTTGCCTTGAGTTGTCATGGAGCATCATAGAACTAAATAGGAAAAACAATATGAAGTCCTGCACTTCCTTTTATGTAGTGTTAAAAAAAGGACAATGCTTCCAAATGCCTTCAAGAATTACCAAATGCATCAATCACTACAATTTGTGAATTACTATTATAAAAGAATGGTTCAATTCCTTCGACTTCCTTGATCTGAATAACCTTTGCAGTTTGTTCACATAAAGCCACATAGAAATCATATAATTAAGCATGTTAAATAAATAGGCATTGAAGAAAAAGTTAATTAAAAAAATTTATTGACTACATCATGCATGATTTCATTAGACAATGATGAGACTATTTGAATCTTTAAAATCTAAGATCTTACACAATTATTAATAGTACATTATCCCTTGTTTCCCACTTAATCCCATTAAAAGAAATAAGCTTAGAAATTACGAACGTATTTAAACTAATAAAAAAAATCAATGAGATCTATGGCCATCAAATCCACCATCTTGTTGTGCCCTTGGGTGAATATTCACTTCTCTAGCTGTTCATTGGAAGAAAAATATATATATATATATATTTAACACTTCACCTTTCAAGCCAGAGAGAAACCAAGATGCTTTGCTAGAAGAATCTAAAAGAAAAGAGAAAAAATAAGCAAAGAACAATGGTAGAGGCATGGTTAAATTCTTAAAAACAACCAAATTAAGCTGTTAAAATGCTTATAAAACTTCAAGCACAGCACAGACCAGGAAAAAAAAAATTGAAATCATACAGACAAGATCTCACACAATGACAATTGTAAAGTGATAAAATAAAAACAGTTTTCATACACTGTTGCAAAAAATCAAAAAGCAGATCAAGTCTGTAAATTCTTCTGAGGGGTTTGGAAATATCAAATGGAGAAAGAACAATTGCAATGGAAAAGATAGAAGGAGAGTGATGGAAGATATAGTGTGAATAACGAGGTCACTGTGATGTAATCTAATGTAAATCAAATACAGGTTCAAATTTCTACTATCTCGTGTGAACTAACCTCCGAACTTATCTCTTCTTCTTCTTTGTCCACCGCTACGATGTTGTCACTTCTTCCATTGTTGTTTTCTGTCGAAGAAGTGACTATGACATCGACATGTTCCGATTCTTCAGAGCTCTTTGATGGCATCAGTTGTGGGATTCTCTTCAACTCTCTACTTTTCCCCCACAAAACCATATATAATCCACACACTATCACCACAGCTCCTAGCACGCTATTATTGTATACAAATAAAAAAAATTAGGTCAAATGAAGCAATGTATGTCCATATATAACAAGCAAAAAATTATTTATGTGACAAAGGAGATAACACCCACCCATGATTATTCATTTGATTTTAATAGTATCAGGTAGTTAATGTTGTTAATAATATCATATCATGTGTACATATATACCTTCCCAAACGGATAACAAAACTAAGAAATTAAATCATTCACAAAATCTACAAAAGCCAAAACATTTGAATCAACCAAACCCATAACCCAAGGGCTATTTTTGGGAAGTGGCTTATAAGCCATCTTATTGACTTATTGGCTTATTTGAGTCACATTACCTCTCTACTTTTTGTACATTTTTTCGTAATAAGCCAAAAAATTAGATTATAAGCCACATACAAACTTGACAAAACACAACCTATAAGTAACATCAAATAAAAGTTTAACAACAATACTAATATTATGAAGCATCGAGTGTTTTATAGCCTTGAATCATACTAATATTTTAATTGTTAAATAAATAAATAATACATAAAAATGCTTCAAGAACCATACCAGTTGATAAAAATTTTATTCAAGATTTTCAAAATGAGACGAAGGGGGGCTCCTGATGACTGAGGCAGTGGCTGCTCAGTTGAGAATGAGGGGTTGAGACTGTTGAGAGAATTCAGATGAAATTTCAAAATTTAAAACCTCTGGAATAGAGAGAGAGAGAGAGAGAGAGAGAGAGAGAGAGAGGAGCTTGGGTGGGAAGAGTAAGAAAGGCTTTGTAAGAGTGAAGAGAGAGAAGACGTTTTACAAACCAAATCATCTGAGCCCTCTATTCTTAAAACCAAACAATCTTAGCCATCCAACAATCTGCCACCTAGACAAAAGTCCCATCAAGATACAAAAAACCCCATTCCCTTGTTATGTATATATATATATGCAAAATATATAGCTAAACTGATTTCTTGAATTTTACTTTGTGTATAATGATAAAAATAAAAATAAATAACAAAAAAACTTATAATAATGATATATGAAATAAAAAAATTTCATATAGAATGTGTAATAATATAGTTCAATGTGTGTACTTTTTATTTTGAAATAAAACATTCACAAAAATTACTTTTATTTACAAAATTAACATTATCTTATTACTGTTCTTGTGATATTTTCTATAGAATAGGGCTTTTCAAAATCTAGTGGGAAATTAATATATATATATATAGGAAAATATAAATCAATGATATTTTTTAAAAAAAATAATTACAAATCAGTAATAAATTTTGTAAATTCAATAATAAAATCTTTAAAATTTCTATAAATTTGTAGTTATTTTAAAATTTTCTTATTGGTTTCTAATTTCTCAGATGAATATATTCTTTTTAGATAATAGTATTGCATGATAGCCATCTGATGTGGGTATGATGGGTACAGGATGGAGAGGCTGGGATTGGGTACAATGATAGGCAAAGCGACGGTAGCAGGGACATTGATGTGCACGGGTGGGGCCATGCTGCTCATGTTCTACAAAGGGGCAGAGGTCAACATCTGGTCAACCAATGTTCACCTTTTTCACAAGGGTGGACACGTGGCGTCACCACACCCACATGATCGTAATGACATGGTGGGAATTTTATTGATTTTGTCCTGTTGCATCTCTACTGCAACAGGATTGATTGTTCAGGTTATCTTGCAACAACCAAAAAATTAAATAAAAATAAATAAATGATAAAAAAATTAAATTTACTCAAATGACCTTGACTAATATCATTTATTCTGAATGTGTCCTGTTTGTTGGGTCAGGCTAAGATGATACAGGACTATCCTTGTGTGTACTCCAGCACTGGGCTAACGACGACGATGGCAACAATCCAAGCCATTGGATATGCACTTTGCATAGATAGAGATTGGAGTAAGTGGAAACTTGGATGGAATCTAAGACTACTTACGGTCTCTTACGCGGTATGTATCCTCATATTAAGTAATAACCGAACTATGTGTGAGACTATATAAATTAAAATAAATCATTATAATTATCTTGTAGTAACTTAATGTTTTATCATGTACTATTTATGAAATTCAAAAGTTAATTTTTATGATTATAACTTTTTAAATTATTAGTTTAAAAAAAATTACAAATTGTAAATCTACTTAGTGAAATTTTGACAATTCCCATAATAACAATAAACAAAGTTAAACCTAATTAAATGAGTTAAGACACACCTCTTTTTGTTATGAAAATATATAAATTTAAAAGTTATAATTAAGATAAATATAAAATTTTATAATTAAGAAAAATATATAATTTTATTATTAAATGTGAAATAAAGTGATATTTAACGATAATTGAGATGGTGTTTCTAGGGAAACACTATGGTACACACCTCCTCAAAAGGTATGTACCATATGCACCTTATAATTAAAAAAAAAAAAGGACGTAACTTCATATTTTTCGAGTCATGACTAAAAAAATGTCATAACCAAGCATAATATGAGGCATAATGAAAGAACTCATGAGTCATAATTAAAATAATATCATAACTAAAGAAGAAAATAATATAAGTAAAGGCGCATATGGTACACCATTTTTAAGGGTGTATATATTAGAATTTCTCCTGTTTCTGTTATTAATCCAATAATTTAAGTTACATTTCTTTTGATTTGAATTTCATAACTAAAAATACAATATGAATATAATGCGCACATGGAATGTACTATGTTATACACCCCCTCAAAATGTATGTACCATATGCACCTTATAACTAAAAAAATTTGCATAATTTCATATTTTTCGAGTCATAACTAAAAAAATGTCAGAACTAAGCACAATATGAGGCATAATTAAAAAACTCAAGAGTCATAATTAAAATAATATCATAACTAAAGAAGAAAATAACATAACTAAATGTGCATATGATACACCACTTTTAAGGGTGTATATATTAGAATTTCTCATGTTTCTATTATTAATCCAATAATTTAAGTTACATTTCTTTTGATTTGAATTCCATAACTAAAAATATAATATGAATATAATGCGCATGTGCTAGCCTTTTAGTCTTTAATAATAAGAAAGTTTTACAATATCTCCAACCTTTCATTATTTTCTTTTAATTTTTTTATTTAACTTGATTTTAAATTTAAATAAAAAGTTTGATTTGATGTGCTCTTGGTTAGAATTATCTTGAAAGATCGAAAATTTGAGTATGTGATTTACCGAAATGTAATTTGATTAACCCTCTTCTCATATTTGTAAAGAGAAATGGTAGAGGCCCATACTTAAAATCACAAATTCATCCATGACGTGACAAGAGAGTTGGGGCCTTATATCATTAGGTGTGTAACAAATTAAAAATTGACACTTATGACCATATCATCATGGGTTGGATTCTGAGATCTTTTTTGAGGTTTCAACATTTTTCATTTGTAAATATCCTACATATTGAGGGGAAAAAAAAAAAAAACCGAGTTGGAATGTGTAATCAAATTATTCTTTAAACAAGACTTCAAAATAGATTAATTTGTCCCATTAATTGATTTAAGATTTAGATAGATATACATAAAATAAAATAAAAAAATAGATAGTTATATTAATAAATCGTAATTCAAATTTAGATATTGTCATATCTTTTTGAGATCCATATCTTAATTCTTATCTTCTTTATTTATGAGTGGTTTATATTTGTTTTTTTTTTAAAAATTTATTTAAGTTATGGAGTTGGTTTTATTTTATTTTTGAATTTAATTTATGTGTGGTTTCTATTTATTTATTTAAGTTTTGGAGTTGAGGCTTTTTATTTACTTGTTAAAAATTTATTTAAGTTATGATGTAAGATAGAGACGTGACGGACACGTTGGTTTTATTGATTTAAATTCTAATGGTGGAAGACATTTTCAAAATAAATTTATTTAGATAATTTTTAAAATTTAAAATTGGATATTGGTAGACAAAATAAAGATTTTAAGTGAAACGATAAAGATCAAATTTGTTAATTTTATCTGTTTATATATTTGATTTTTAATTTTTTTTATTATGTTTATTTAAAGAGAATGCCATGTAGGATAGAGAGTCCATGAGAGTTTAGTATTCAGAGTTTGAAAGTCTCTCATGTTTCACACTATATTCTTATAATATATAAGATGTATATATATATATATATATAAGATAAGTCTATAAACATAGGAAATGATCATAGAATCGTACACTGAATGTATGTGCACAAAAGTCTTTTTAAAAAAGTTGATGCCACGAAAAAATCTTGCAAAATTTTGTTCATTCATGCATGTTATGTGTTCGATTCTATAATCAATGTGTTAATATTATGATTATTTATATGTTTCGACAAGTTACCACTTGTTTGGTCAAGTTTTTTTTAAAAAAAACTGGTCTAAAAGTTTTAGATGCAAGATCTATTGTCAATTTTTTAATAATATGTTAAATTATTAATCACTAATTTTAATTTAAATTATTAAATTTGTCGGTAGTAAACAATTGAACACATGTACTCTGAAAAATTCTATGAAATGTTTGGATTAAGTTTAGGTGTGGGTGTAAATCTAAATTATGAATTTTAATTCAATTATGGAGCAGTTGTAAAATGTGTTTGACTTGCTTGCATTGTAGGGGGCTCTGGCTTGTGGAGTAACGTTTACCCTCATTGCTTGGTGTGTACAAATAAAGGGTCCACTATTTGTATCAGTTTTTAGCCCCGTGCTGCTTGTTTTTGTGGCAATAGCTGGCTCATTGCTATTGGACGAGAAGCTACACTTGGGAAGGTATATATGTACACATGATATGATATTATTAACAACATTAACTAGCTGATACTATTAAAATCAAATGAATAATCATGGGTGGGTGTTATCTCCTTTGTCACATAAATAATTTTTTGCTTGATATATATGGACATACATTGCTTCATTTGACCTAATTTTTTTTATTTGTATACAATAATAGCGTGCTAGGAGCTGTGGTGATAGTGTGTGGATTATATATGGTTTTGTGGGGGAAAAGTAGAGAGTTGAAGAGAATCCCACAACTGATGCCATCAAAGAGCTCCGAAGAATCGGAACATGTCGATGTCATAGTCACTTCTTCGACAGAAAACAACAATGGAAGAAGTGACAACATCGTAGCGGTGGACGAAGAAGAAGAAGAGATAAGTTCGGAGGTTAGTTCACACGAGATAGTAGAAATTTGAACCTGTATTTGATTTACATTAGATTACATCACAGTGACCTCGTTATTCACACTATATCTTCCATCACTCTCCTTCTATCTTTTCCATTGCAATTGTTCTTTCTCCATTCGATATTTCCAAACCCCTCAGAAGAATTTACAGACTTGATCTGCTTTTTGATTTTTTGCAACAATGTATGAAAACTGTTTTTATTTTATCACTTTACAATTGTCATCGTGTGAGATCTTGTCTGTATGATTTCAATTTTTTTTTTCCTGGTCTGTGCTGTGCTTGAAGTTTTATAAGCATTTTAACAGCTTAATTTGGTTGTTTTTAAGAATTTAACCATGCCTCTACCATTGTTCTTTGCTTATTTTTTCTCTTTTCTTTTAGATTCTTCTAGCAAAGCATCTTGGTTTCTCTCTGGCTTGAAAGGTGAAGTGTTAAATATATATATATATATATATCATTTATTTTTTCAAGGATATATATCTTTAGTGTAGTAGTATATGCATATTTACTCTTATGCCTTTTTCATCTTATGTTTTTTCCTCTCCTTTATCCATGCTTACCTGAATCTCAATCCGAATCTTATAATCTTACAATTTTACGATCCATTTGGATACAATAGATTTGGATAGTGTAAAAAAAAAATTTACAAGTAGGATTTTTTGATCCTAATAGTTGGATCTCATAGATTCATGGAATTTCAATTCAGATTCGATTCTACCAATTCAATTTTTAATCCTTGTAATTTATGAGGTAATTTTATTTTTATTTTTATTTTTATTTATTTATTTATTTTTGTGTGTACTTTCAATCCTAATAGTTGGATCTCATAAGATCGTGGAATCCCTGGATCTATCCTATTAATCTAATTTTTAATCCTTGTTTTGTATTATATGAGCTAATTTACTATAAATTTTATATTTGTATATTTTTTATCCTGATAGTTGAATCTCCTAAGATCGTGGAATCCCAATCCAAATCCGATCCTCCGATCTAATTTTTAATCATTGTTTTATAATATAGAACTAATTTATTGTTAATTTTATGTTTGTTACCTAAATACCAATTGTATGTAGTCCAAATGAATAAAAAATAAGCCAGATATTGAATGAAATAGACTAATAACCAAACTAAGGAAACACATTTAAATATTGAAAATAATATAAGAAAACTAACTAGTCCAAAAAAAAAAAAAAATTTGATTAGGGAAACACATTTAACTATTGAAGTAATATAAGAAAAAACTAGTCCAAAAAAAAAAAAAAAATTTGTAGTCTTAGCAGGGGTTTGGAGGGAACAAAATATACGCAATTTTATTTTAAATTTTGAAGAGCCAATTTTCATGACTTAGGAAACACATATGAATACAGATATGGATAGGATACTATACGGATATGAAATACAATAAAACTTATAAAAGTAGAATACATATACGATTATGATATGTTTGTTTTTTTCAAGTATTGGTAGTGAACTACAAAAGCTCTAGCATGTTAAAAACTATACTGTAATTTTATAATGTAAAATATTAATATTTAAGAATTAGGAATTAATTTAAGTCATTAGCTAATTTATTTCTTCAATTTCAATAGGTTTTACATATAATTTGCTTCAATATCAAGTCCAATATGTTTATATCGCAATAATAGAACAATCCACATGAATTTGTCCATATGTTTTTCCCTTTTACTTATTTATTTATTTATTTATTAATATTTAATTCTATTATTATTATTATTATTATTATTATTATTATTATATTCACTTGTTAATTTTTACTTTCTATGCAATTATAGGGGGCATGCATAATACAATAAAGATACTCTAATTTGATAAATTCTATTATTTTTAACATATTATATTCTTCTTATCAAAGAACTAAGCAAAGGATTGAAAAAAATATTATTTAGTGTGTTTGGTTTTAATTTTCTGGAAATTGAATGTTTATTTTGTTTTTAGTGAATATTTTTAAAATTTTAAGTAACTTTTTTTTACTTTTTTAGATACACCTTACTTAGATGTATATAAAAAGTAAAATATTTTAAAAAATTAATAAATACACAAGAATACGAAAAATGTATTGAATTCTCATTTATTTATTTTTTTATATTTTTGGTATTTAGTGAATTTTCTAAAGATTTTTTTCACAAATATTATACTTTTTAAGTGTATTTCTGTTAGGGGTATCTAAAAATTTAAAACAATTGCTTAGAATATTAAAAAAATTTAGTGAAAACAAAAAAAATACGGAAAATAAAAAATTTTAATTTTTTGAAAAGTGAATCCTGAAAATCCAAACCAAACAAGCTGATTTTATTTATCCTCACATTTAAGGTATATTATAATGTTAGATAATAAATGCTACAATTCTAATTCTATAAAATAAATAATATGAGACTTGGAGTATCCGATGCAAAAAATTAGTATCCGATACATTAGAATTAATGAAAAATTAATTAAAAAGTAACTAATACTTTTAATAAATATCTGCTACGTATTTGAGAGTATTAATATCCGATAAGAATATGTCTCTTTTTTAGAAGTATCTAAATCCTAGCTCTCGTCTTCAACCTCCGCCGGAAACTGCTACTGGTGCCTCCTGTACAGCTGCTGCGGCCTCCTTAGGTTCTTCTTCAGCAGCCACTGGCTCTGCCTCTGGAAATGGAGCTGCTGGTCTAGAAATAACGCATAGTCTAGAAATATAAGTAAAATTGTGCATTTCATAAGTATAGTCTAGAAACGCGCCATGTGTCTAGCTAAGAATAACGCATATTATTATTATTATTATTCCTGTTGTATTTTATGGATTTCCTTTTGTTTTGTGTCTTTTAGACTTCGTTCTTTCTACCTGGGCATTGATTTCTATTTCTATTTCTATTTCTTTTGCTTTTTCTTTTTAATGTGAAAATGGAAAAGATGAAGAGTCTCTAATAAACCCTATATATATCCTTTAAATATAAAATACTAAAGGAGTATATTATGTTGGATGATTATTGGGTACTTTCAGCGTATGGTCACGTGATACTCTATGGTATTATAATTGGTGAAGAATTAATATAGGATATTATGATTTTGTATTTGATGATTGAGGAATATAAAGGGACATTGTGAATAATGATCGGTGAATGAATATGAACACATGATATTCTGAGAATACTTAATAATTTTCCATATTTCCTGAGCATTTTATAAATCTAGTGGTATTTCATGTACCATAGATAATGTGCATTTATTAAATCTAGTGGTATTTCATGTACCATAGATAATGTGCATTTATTAGTTACTTTTTTCATTGTTGTTATCTAAGGCTATTGAACGGTTAGCTACTTTACGTGGGTTCACCTCTAAAAATCTTAAAAAACACAAAATGCGGGCTCAAGAGAATTTTTATGTCTCTTGGTAAAGATGAAATTTTTTATTTGCCATCTTGAGTAACAAAATGAATGGGCCATATACAATGATGTTTCCTTTATCGTTTGCTTGATTATTTTCTTCTTCCAATTATTTTTTGTTCAAGAAAATTAAAAACTCAAAATTAGATTATAAATCTGAGAGGGTAATTTTTGGTAAAAATTGGGCCGAGCTACGTGATAGGCTTCGTGGCCCAAAGTGCCAAGGACTTGGTGAAAAGGCCGCAAGGTTACTCCGGCCCAGGAGAGACAGGGTTACTCCGGCCCAGGAGAGGCAAAGGTACCATAGATAATGTGCATTTATTAAATCTAGTGGTATTTCATGTACCATAGATAATGTGCATTTATTAAATCTAGTGGTATTTCATGTACCATAGACAATGCGCATTTATTAGTTACTTTTTTCATTGTTGTTATCTAAGGCTATTGAACGGTTAGCTACTTTACGTGGGTTCACCTCTAAAAATCTTAAAAAACACAAAATGCGGGCTCAAGAGAATTTTTATGTCTCTTGGTAAAGTTGAAATTTTTTATTTGCCATCTTGAGTAACAAAATGAATGGGCCATATACAATGATGTTTCCTTTATCGTTTGCTTGATTATTTTCTTCTTCCAATTATTTTTTGTTCAAGAAAATTAAAAACTCAAAATTAGATTATAAACCTCAGTACAAACTTGTGGTGTAGATACGTTCCTAGAGTAGAAACTCATATTCCTTGAGTAGAAGCTCATATTTTTTTTAAATTATTATTTAGTAACTAACTCTTTTTTTTCATGAATTACAATTCTATCATTATTTACATATATAAGTCAAATATTCAAAATACATATATAGTTTCTATTGCTCATCAAACAAGAAATTTTTGAGCCTCCTTAAACAAAAATTGCAAATGATTGGTAGTTGAAAATTTTTATTATTCCAAATTTAAACTCTATTACATCACACAAGACTTTTTATTCTTTTTTTTTTTTTTTTTTTTTTTTTTTTTTTATCTTTTATGTGGTACATTACTAATTTAGTTAAATCTTGTCCCTCATTAAACTACATTCCTCAAAAGAGTTTTTTGGTATTGTATTTGTTCTTATTAAAATACACATCCTAATTTCATACCATAGTAAGTGGACCATAATTGAATTCTCGTTTTAGGTGCAAAATATATTTTATGACGGTAATGTAAGATAGTATCTTTATACATTTATCTTATTCAGACAAATATGTTATGTAATCTCATAATTTGTTTATATTTAATTTTGAGTTAGTAAGACATGCAAACACGATGGATTCTTCTTCTTGGAAAAGAAACACATCAATTATAGTAGTTCATGCCAAGTTTGAATACTTATTGTCAACAATAAAATAATATTAATAAAAAAATGGATGGGTTCTTATACAAATATGGAACTATTTGTTTGTAATTTTGATTAAAGTTGATATAAACTTATATGATAAGATTGTTTTAATTTTCAACATGCATGCATTCTGCAACTTAAAAATGATTGTACAAATATTACAAAATTACATTTACATAAAATTTAAATGGAAAATTTGGCCATAAACCCCTCTTACCTTCCTTTTCATATTAAAAGGACCCAAAAAAAAAAAATAAATTATACTTTCAAAACCCCCTCATAATTATAAAGTCTTGTATAAATGACAAAAATTTTTAGATTTATATTTTGTGTGACAAATTTACCCTTTCACATACGCACTCTCTATCTTTCTTCTCTTTCTCTGCATCAGTTTGTCATCTCTCTCTTAGCTCTTTCTTTCTCTATCTCTTTCTAAGAGCTCTCATCACCACCATATCTACTACCATGACTGCCATCATTCCCACCACCTCCGTTGTTTCCACCAACACTGTCTCAACCATCGATGCTGTTTGTCATCGCCACCGCCACAGCCACCGCCGTTTCACCACTAGCATCTCAACCACCAGTGCCATTCGATGCCACCATCGTTATCCTTAGCGTCCAAGACTTCAGATCTGAGATTGATGACCTCAGATTTGAGATCTA